ATATCCAGCCAGTTAACCAAATAGCACTTACACGAAAGGCAAAATGCGTGATATCGTATCCGTTGTAAGCCTCAAAATTTACCTCCAATGAATATATTATAAACTTAAACTTTCATTATAACAATAGTCACAATAAGACGATCAGAGACTGCTAGATGGCTCAGGTATTCTATAAAACTGCATGACATCTCGAAAGTACTGACGATTCAGATGAGTACAAGAAACACCGCCAGCGAAATGGAACACCCAATCACGCCCAGACAGAAAGCAAAAGCAGTTGATATGGAAACCTTGAAGGGTGACTCCCAGTTTCGCATTGAAAACCCTCTGAACGCTGGCATCGACATTATGAATCCTAGCACCCTCTCAGCCTCTCATGACACATGACCTCACTAACCGTAATCGGTCTATCACCTCCAAATCTTTAAGGATTAGTGACCTCAGGCAGAGCGCTTCCAAATTTGACGTCAGGATAGTTGCGAAAGGTGGGATTCACTGGACAATTTGAACAATCTGCATTAGTACAAAATCAGTGGTAAATCCGAGATGAATTCGCCGGAAGAAAAATATTTGAGACGTCAACAAGCAAACTTACGTCTTTGGTACTTAGTTGTTAGGCCAGTAAAATAAGAGGGAGCGTGCATTTTGAAGGTATGGCCGGGGTTTTAAGAAAATTTAATCATAACTTCTGATAAATGTGCGAGGATGAAGTAAGTGCGCATGGAGATGTTTCAGTACTTTGTGAATTTGCCAGTGAACGTTTAAAGCATTTGCTAGGCTACAAGGGTCAAGTGCCAGAATTCCAAACGGCAATTCTCATCCTCTAAATCGCTTAATATTGCTTCAACAAGGAAAAAACCAAGATGAACCGAAGAAGTTCAAGTTGATCTAGTAAAATGTCAAGGCGCGTTTACCAGGAGTGGGATCTACTACGAGCCCGTCAGTATTCGCCAGATACAGAAAAAACCTTGAGTAAACTGATAGAATCGAATTTGAGTAATGAATTGTCCGCATAACGCACCTCGATTTTTAACGAATTTGAATGTAAATAAACTGAAAACAGTGGGTGTAGTTCCCGAGAGGTTGTATTTGATGTCGGCTGGAACATCAACGTCACCCACGGAGGTAATGAAGATGGGCATGCTACACACGAGCAGGGATTAAAACCTGTGCGTATATTTACTCGCAATCATCATATTACCACTGGTGTTGCCATCGCATTCGAAGTCGTCACGTTCTCCAAAAATTTTAAAAAATAATCCCCCGCCCCCCACGAGGGTAATCCCAAACACAATGACAGCCGGTTTTCGGAATCTCAGGAATTAAAAATTAAAACTCATCCAGGAGTAGACAAGCATCTACTTTGATTATATCTACACTTTTACACATATCGCAAAAAATTCGTTTTACTGATAGATGACGATAAAAGCAGGCCAATTTGTCACGACGTACAAAACAAAATGCTTCATAAACGTCTTTAAACTAATGAATTACCAACGTTTTTTGGAAAATGCTATTATTATTTCGTTTTTAGGCCCTGTGTCCATTTTAATTACAAAGTAACATTTCTGAACAGCAAAATGTTCTTCGGGCGTTTTTTGTTTTACTTAATTGCCTCGCAGCTGTTAACGAGAAAAGATCCTTTGTGATGACGTAAAAATTGGTTTAAGATTTTAGTCAGTTCTGAACTCACAGAAAAATAAATTTTTAAGAATGCATGTTCTAGTGGTGCGAGAGAGTAAACTGACAGAGTACTGGCAAAAGATAAATGCTTTTTATCCTCAATGATGTTCTGTCATCGACAAAATATCGTAAAGAGCAAAAAAGCTCAAATGTTTGCCCCCCCTCTGCTCACTAAAACTAGCTCTTGGATATATGTGCTCGAGGCATAAGGGAGTTGCCGTTTTTTTTCTGTTAAAAATTAGTTTTAGCGGAATCATTCGGATGCCCGATTCGACACTATTATTTTAGCTCCCAAAACGGGGAGCTGGTCACATATCATCCAAAGCTATTCAAAAATATGTCCAAAAGCACGTACGTTCCGTTTAAAGAACAAGAGTAACATTAAGAACCTCTTAATAATCATCAGAATCTTCCGGTAAGACAGGACATATAGCAGAAATACGTGGTAAGTACCAGTCGTACTATGTAACTGCTGAATCAGGTGGGTGATTGAAGATTTATTGTAGTTTAAAAGAAAGAATATCAAGGAAAAACAAGCTCTTCAATATTGAAGAATGAAAAAGGTTCGAAATCGCTGGTCTCTGAATAACCAACTTTCATGGCTACTTGAAGCTGTTCAGGCTGGCATTTTTAGGATTATTTTTTCCTACAGGGGATGTAAAAAACCTCACCGAGACAAATTAACTAACGGGGATGACAGAAAAATAGGGATACGTCTTTTACGATAATACAAAAGTCGGACTACAGCGAATGGCGATACTGGCCTTCCATATTTCAGGCGGTCTTTAGTCAAATTCCACGAAGGGTTAAGGTGGTCAAGGATTATGCAGATTAATGTTAGAGTTAAGGTTAAAATTGTCACATGGAAATAGTTGCCCCAATGGGATTAAACAAAAGGCTACCCCCCAATACAAAGCGTCTTTATTTCTGCTGTCAAGCGCCTGCCTAGTTGATTCAATCTCAAAAGCAGCTGAAATTTTTATACAGAAGTGATGTCGCCCCTCTGAAGCTAACAAACGACCGAACTAGACAACAAAGCTGACATAGTAATCACAACTTTGGACAGTTTACAAAGGTCGAAAGTGTCCCCAATCGTGATAGACTGGAAAAGTGTTCTATTATTTATGATTTATTTATGAGATATATATAGTCACACCGCTCAGAATATATGAAAAGTGTGCGTTTTTGAGGGCTTTTTGATGGAAGATTGTTTAAAGAGTTCTGACCATATGCAGACCCATATGTCTAAGTTTGCGTTTCTGGTGCCGTTTTCGCCTAATGAAATTGCCGGTTTCGAAATTATAATGAGACAAAAAATGTTCCATTTAGCCGCAGAGATTGGCGGAGTTTGGGCTAAAAAGAAAAGAGTATATCACTGACGAGGCAAAATGGAAAAAAGACATTGCGCGTATGTTGGAGTTTGTTCAGATTTGTTCTACTTAGTTTCCGTACTCTAAAAATATCCAGACAAGATTCCTCCTAGAGTTTTGCTGTTTTGCAGCTTCTTACCATCCGCTTGCGCAGCGGTGAATCGGGCGGAGGTTAAACGTATATCATAAGAAAAAAAGATGACGGTTTTTAGGAATTTTTCCGTAGTGCAATTTACTCCGGGTCCTTTTTCTAATGAAATGCGCATCAGCATGCACAGGGAATTATTTGCGGCGTAGTTAAAGCAATCGGGACATAACTTAAATCTAGCTTTTTGACGCATATGCTGTTAGTGAAATTGCAAATGCTAACTTCCGAACAGAAATGGAACGATTGGTGTATCCATCTGGAGCAGCAATGAAACCGTCGTAGACGTTCTTTCATTTGGTCGTTATTCATGCCAATTTTCCCGATCGATTTTGGCAGTAGTTAATGAGCGACTTTTATATTTACTGAAGGAATCAAGTGTTTAGGCAGTTGAAATGAGGTCAGCTGTGCATTTATGACTACATAGCGAAATACTCAGTTTTATCAGAGACTATGTAATAACTATGATCAAAAAGGATTAACTGCAACGTAAACAGTTGTTATGTAGTCGACGTGGTTGAAGGACTGTTATATGTATATATATATATATATATATATATATATATATATATACAGTACCTGTGCTAACTCATGAAATGCCGAGGTCAAAATTATAGTGGACAATGCAGTGTATTTTTGGTGTCGTTATTTGTGTTTATTTGGTTGAAATAAGGACGAAAAGACCGTTTTCTGAAGGAAAGTTTGATACGGATCTGTATATTAAATAGAAAACGGGCCGGATTAAGGCGAAATCGGAGGATTCCTGATATTCAAGCAGTTTCCTACGCTATAAAAGCTTTCGGATGGAAATTTTTTGTGTAACCTTATTAATCTGTTTAAGAAGATTAATAAAAGGACGAAATTTTTTGATAAACTTTCGAACAAAAAGAAAAAATTAAATTTCAATATCAACAAAATCAGGGAAATGCAGATAAATTATTTCTTATTGTGTTCAGGAAATAGCGTGCGATTCT